ACATATAACAACTGTGTAAGTCATCTGTAAATGTTTAGTAAATCATGAAACAATCATTAACAAATCATTAGTAAATGATTAATAAGTAGTTAGTTGATATATTATAAATCACTTGTAAGTTTTTCAAAGATTTGATATTTCACTAGTCTGTTGTAAGTCTATAATAATGGGATCTCTATACGCACTGGTTATTCAAATGATGTACAAGTAATTATTAATGCTCAGTATGTAATTTGTTGATGTATCATTAACTGCTTGTAAGTCAGCCCATTACAAACACGAAAAACAATTATGATGGAGCTATTTTAAATGAATACTAAATGATTTGTCTTTCAGTGAACAGACATTTATACATGATTACATGTGTATTTAACACTGACCAGGTGGGTCAGAGTCAAATACACTGACTGGTCACCACAGAGACTTGGATTCTGTGTAGAGTGGATGGGATATGGCCATAAAGTCAACAATGATTATTAGTTGCAGCCCTAAATCTCATCATGTATCCCTGGTGTCTGTGACATGAAGACATGAAGAACAAACTGCATCATGGAGAGAGAGTCAGAGAGAGAGAGGGAGAGAGAGTGAAAAACTACATTCTGCTGGTGGTGAACATTTTAGTTCATCTTGGTTCAGCAGTCACGGAGCATTAAGACCAGCATCAAGTGGTGCAGAAGAATTAATACAGAGGATGTAGCCAGACTAGAGGCGGATCCAGTGGGACCTAAAGGTCCACAGAGAAACTACATCTGGCAGCACTGCATTTCCCAGTGTTTTTGCGGTAAGGGAGAGCAGAGATGGTTGTAACATTTTTGACATTTCTGTCTGTAATTTTTAAACGAGTGTGTTCAAAATTTAACACAAACTGGTTCCACGTGTCTGTTCTAAATGGTGTAGCTACACAAACAGAACTTGTCTGTGGTTTAAACACAAAGAGTGAAATCTTAGAATTGACCTCATGGTTAGTTGGAAGATATCCTGAGCTGAGATGTAACATCCATGATGTAAGGACATTTGATATTGAGAGATTTTTATTCAACACTTAAATGACCCTGTGTGTGTCTGCGTGTGTGTGTGTGTGTGTGTGTGTGTGTGTGTGTGTGCGTGTGTGTGTGTGTGTGTTAGTTACTGTCAGTCATAGTAGTGATAAGAATTTGAAGAATTTGAATAAAACTGAACAAAATGTTCACCAGCTTCAACAATTGAACGTGTGTGTGTGCGTGTGTGTGTGTGTGTAACCCAGACTCTTGTATGAACTAACGTAACTTACAGCTAACAGCTAAAACTTTAGCACTGACAACATGAAAACTCACACTCTGTCCTGAAGAGCACAATGAACAGCTAAGACACTGCACAGAAAGGCCTCTGGCAGAGGACCCGAGCTTGAGGGAGAAATACTTCATTGATTAAAGCACTTTTTTCCCCTTTGTTTGTTTTGGTTGAAAGTCTAATTTCTTCGACTATAAGATTTGTGTTGTCAAGAGACAAGCTCCTAAAAATATGTATAGGTGTCATATTTGTAGGTCCATGTACAATGCACCCACTGCATTAATTCAGCACCTCAAGTTTTTTCATGGGTTATATCCAGGCAAGAAATTTGTTGTTATTTGTGCCCAAGAAGGATGTTCATTGCAGTTTAACAGTTATGCAGGTTTTAGAAAGCACTTACATGGCTCTCATAGTTCTTTTAACACAAGTAATGATTTACCAACACCACATCAGTCAGATTCAGATGAACAGAGCTCACAAGAAGATGCATTTGGCATGATTCCAGATATAACTAATCAACCATCAACATCCCAAATGTCAAAAGATAAGACAAAAGATATGTGTGCTTCAATCATAGCAAAGTTACAAGGCAGTGGTGTCGCTAACAATGTTGTCTTATCAGTTATTGAGAGCATGGAGGAGTATGTCAATGATGCTCATGCAAATCTTAAAGAACAAGTGTTAAGTGCAGTGCCTGCTGATAATCCCAGTAGAAGTGCAGTGGAAGAGGTTTTTGACAATGCTTTCAATCTGTTTGCTGACTTTAACACAAATTCTAAATGGACACAGTATTTTAGTGAAAGATGGGGTGTTGTTGAACCACTTGAAATTCATTTAGGAGTGAGATATGACTCGATGAGAAACAAAATATCTGGAGTATATGAACAGGTTCCAGTAGATGACACTTTCATTTACATACCACTGTTAAAAACGTTGGAGTTCATTTTCAAGAATAAAGTAGTTTGCGGTCAAATGAATAAGTCTGCCACTGTCGTTAGCTTATATCAGGATTTCTGTGACGGAAAGTACTATCAAAATCCCCCTTTATATTCAAAATCAAAAGATTCATTACAAATTCAAGTGTATTATGATGACTTTGAAACATCGAACCCACTAGGATCGAAACAAGGCATTCATAAGCTTGGATGTTTATATTTCACACTCCGCAATTTACCACCACGTCTAAACTCATCCCTGATGAATATCCATCTTATTTCTTTGTTTCATTCCCAAGATGCAAAAAAGTATGGAGTTGACAAAATTCTTACTCCATTTATAGAGGATGTAAAGATACTAGAAAATAGTGGAATGAAAGTGTCATTTGCTGATCAACCGATCTATGGCACCATAGCACAAGTAACAGGTGACAATTTAGGTCTGAACTCAACTCTTGGTTATGTGGAATCATTCAGTGCCAACCATTACTGCAGACAGCCTGTGCATCTTCTCATTTGTCCAGGTCATCGTATCCTAAAGGAGTTTAAATCGAAAAAACAACTGGACTTGATTATTTGTCTGGGAAGATGTTTCACCTCTCATCCAAGAGGCTTCATCAGTTCATGTACGCATCTGACCAGGCTGGGACTGGTCCAACTTTCTGGTGTGGAGACCCAAGTATTTAACCTCTTGAGGGCATTCACAAGGCTGATGATGTAACTGGTTCCCATTTGTGCTCCAAGTGTCAACGACAGTCGTTTGCATGACTGTCGTTGGTGTCATTACTGCAGAATGTGTCTTATTGATAAAGCCTCCGCTCAAACAGCCTTTAGTGAAAGCGATCCACGTGTGATGTTACGGACCAGATCAACCAATGAGGAGCATTATAGTCATCTTGTTGAGAATCCAAGAGAAAAATCTTGTTTTGGAATCAAACGCAACAGTATTCTCAATTCCTTTTCATACTTCAATGTATCAGATAACTTTGTGTTTGATATTATGCATGATATCTTAGAAGGTGTAGGACAATATGAGATTAAGTTATTGTTTGAATATTTGAAGCAGAACTTCATTTCTTATGAAAACATACTCCAGTGTGTATATGCATTCAACTATGGATTCATGGATAAAAAAAATCGACCAACAGGCGTAAACATCTTCTCTACTGGCAATGGTATTGGGCTTAATGCCAGTCAAACATTGTGCCTTATTCGGAACCTCCCACTCATCTTTGGAGATATTGTACCAGAAGGTGACAGACACTGGCATTTGTTGTTACTGTTGTTACAGTTTTGTATCCTCAGAATAATTTAATCCCAAAACATCACTTCATGATCCATTATCCTGAATGTATACGCCAAATTGGTCCATTAGTACACGTTTGGAGTATGAGGTATGAAGCAAAACACAAATTCTTTAAATCCATCTTAAAAAATTTCAAGAACATAACTAAGACCCTTGCCAAGAAACACCAAATAGCTGTTGCCTATCACTGGGAATCACTTTCTGCTAAAGGTATTGAATCCGGACCTGTGTCATCTAAAATACTGACTGATATTGAACATGGTGATGTGATTGCAGATTATTTTCAGCTTGATATTTCAAGTGAAATAAGTGTTATAACTTGGGTTAAACAAAATGGCATTGAGTTTCATTCTGGTCTTGTTGTTTGCACAGATTTTGTCAATGGGATGCCAGTGCTAAATACGATTCTTTGCATCTGTCTTAAAGGTGACATTTATTTTTTATAATCTGAAATGGAGACTGAAATTGTAGAACATTTCCATGCCTTTCATGTTGTTGACATGGTGCATAATGTTTCAGTTGTCAGACCTGATGACTTGAGATACTTCAAACCCTTTGATATCCAAATATCTTATGGTGTAGATTCTAACTTTTATGTTGTGCCAGACAGTGTCATTATTTAAGTTAATTGAAAATAAATGTTTTTGATGCAGTCATTTTTGGAGGGATTATTTCATGTACATTTTAACTGTTAATACCAGTGGTCCATATATGCTGTATCAGCAGCACAGTAAATATTAGTTAAGTATACATTTTACATCAGTGTTACTGGTCATAACATTACTGGTCAATAACATCATAGTGTTGATTAAAATAAACTGGTGTTAATATTTTACACTTGGTTTGTGAAGTAACACTGCTGTAGTGCCAATTAATTCAAATGTATCCATATTGGTGTCAAAATGTTACACTATAAGAGTTTGAAGTAACACTACTGTAGTGTTAATTCATCTAAAACTATCCATATTGGTGTCAATATTTTACACTATTAGAGTGTTTAAAGTAACACTGTTGTTGTGCTAATTAATTTAAATGTATTCATTTGGGTGTTAATATTTTACACCATCAGAGTTTGTTAAGTAACACTGTGATAGTGTTAATAATCTCAACACTATTAAAAGTGTTAATTTAACTCTGAACCAGTGGTTCCCATATAAACACTGGGTCAGTGTTAATTTTAACTCTGAGGGAGTTAAATTAGCGATTTCAAATTTGCAGTGTAGAAAGAAATTCAGAATGAGTTTTTTCCTTCTAAAAGAGTCTGTGTGTATCACAAGGAGCTCCTTTCTCATATGCGGAGTAAGGACTAAACTGAGCAGGTATGGAGTGAATCGTGGTTTTTAACTTGTTCCTAATTGGAGAAATTGGACGTGTTACATATGACCCATGTTACAACCATCCCCGGTCTCCCCTAATGTTCACTCAGTGTTCACATCTGGACCACACAACTGCAGTAACAGGTTCACTCACTCACACACATGAACTCCTACCTTCACCGCGTCTATGTGCGTGACATTGTTGAACATCATGTCGTTCACGGTCACTATCTGGTCCCCGATCCTCAGTCCCTCTCTCTCTGCCGATGATCCCGGTTCCACGAGGGACACGTAGATCCCCACGCCGTGCTCCGACCCACCGCGGATGCTGAAACCAAGACCCTCATGGCTCCTGGAGCGCGTCAGGGTGACTTTGCGGACCTCTCCAAATAAGCCCTCAAGAAACTGCGGGGCCATGGAAGCGCACAGCTCTGCCGCGGCGCTGAACCCATCCGGACAGCCCGATGGAAGAGGCTGTTCATGGATGGAACTGACATAATTTTGCAGAGCTGAGTCACCCTCTTGTCCAAAGCCCTCCGCACTGCCGTTGCTGGGAAGCAGGTCCGTCTTTAAGTAAAGCCCCTCGGACGTGTACTGGTCGAACAGCAGCTGGTCGGACCTCGGGATGACCAGGCGCAACATGGGCAGCAGCTGTCGTTTCTCGGCCGTGTTGAGAATCACGTTGAGAGTTTGGACCAAGTCGAAGACGTTGCGCTTTGCGTGGTAAACATTCAGGCAGTGGATGAAGTGCTCTCTCTCCAGGTCGCTGAGCAGCAGGTTGAGAGTGTTGTGGAGCCTCCGGACGTTTGCCGAGAGCGCACGGCCGCCGGAGCCGGCCGAGTTCAGCGATGTGTTGAGCGACACTCGCTCCAGATCAGCGTTCATCCTACAACATAACGGGGAAACGGTGCATCTCACAGGACGGACTGGGCATCTGGCAAAGCGCTGCTCAAGTCGATTCTCCCACTTGAAAGCAAAACGTGAAACAACTCAACGCGCATCGGGCAACTTCAACAGGTAACCGGAGATAAACGCGCGTAGCGCCGCGCGCACGGTGTGTCCGCCGGTAACAAACTATGTCCCAGTGGATGCGCGCATTTTTTTCGCTGTCCGGTTGTGTTTTTACTCCTTCACCGGGTCGAGCCGCAGCGATTCAAACGTCCCGTGTAATGTCAGAAACCCGGCAGGTTGAAGTCCGTGGAAAGCTTTCTTTATCACTGTGAAGCATACAACTGCGCCTGATAATAACAGCTGCTGTCCACCACCTTCACTCTGTCCACAAACTCCGGAGTCTGTTGCGTGTCTACGGCGGAACGAACGATGTGCGCAACCCGCTGGGTGAGCTGAATTAAAAGCTCTCAGACCCTCTTGTGTTAGGAAATGATCCAGGTTGAGTTGTGTGACTGTTATGTGCTGTGTGTGTGTTGTGTGTGTGTGTGTGTGTGTGTGTGTGTGTGTGTGTGTGTGTGTGTGTGTGTGTGTGTGTGTGTGTGTTGTGTGTGCTGTCTGTGTACGTGTTGCTTAGAAACTGACAACACTATTCACTCTTATTTATATGCTCATGTTTGGCTGATGTCATTCACTGTGGAGTGGAAACGGAATGACAGTAAAGCTACAAACAATAACTTCACGAACCGGTGAAACGTCAGAATTCACACATTTTATTTGACCTTTTCCTGAACAGAAGCAGGAGGATCTGCTCGGGACAGTGTCATTCATCTGGACATCAGAGCATGTGAACCTCTGCTCTGGGTTCATCTTCAAACTGTTTTGGTCCTGGGCGCGATGGCGGTAGGTGTCTGCCTGTCAGCCTTTAAGCTGATCAAGCTGCATTATAGCAAATACTTCCCTGAGACTCCTTGTCATAACTGTATCCTACAGCTATTTTTAAACAGCCTAGCTATTTATAGCAGCCGAGTCTTCCTCCTCATGGCGGTAACGAGCTCCCTCTGTCTGGCCACTCGCGTAAGAAGAGTCCCTGGAAACATTCCTGCCACACCAGGATGCTGCTGAGGAGACGAGTTCCAGACAGAGGGCCCAGTGGGCCCCACGCTTTGAGGAGGTGTTCGGTCAATGCTGTTTAACACAAAACTTATATAGACTCATCAAGTCATCATTCCCCCCACGAGACCGCTGCACAATGATCCTGCTGCCACCTACTGTCCTCCATTCGCTTGTCGCCTGTCATGTTTTTTCCAAATATGTTTTTATCGTGAACAACTGATAAATAAGAAATGTACAAGTTGAAAAAGAGTATTCCTCACTACCATCTCACCCAAACCTCCATCAGTCCTTAACTTTCACCCCAGTCAGCAACACAGCGCTGTCAGACGTTTCCAACAATATAGACTTATTCAACAGACATGACAGCCTGACATACAAACAATGTCTGAATCAGTACAACAGGAAAAATATTAAGGCAAAGAAAGTTTGTTGTTTTAGTATGTTCTTCACATAAGCAATTCTATAAATAGATTGAAGCGTTTAAAAGAAACAATGAATGAAAAATTAGAAACAATGTGCAGCAGGTTATTATGACCCTAGTGGTCGTAGTAATTACGTCAGGAGCAAAGGGAAAAGTGCGGTGACATAGTATAAAGAGAGACCAAGTCCGCATCAGGAGGAGGTTGTGGTGGATGGATGACAAAAGATTGCCTGATGTTGAGTAAGTACTTATTTTAACCCAAATCACCATCTTTTCCTAAACCTAACCAAGCCATGCCCGTTATAGTAACCATGGCGACTAAGTTAGGTACCCATGGTAGCTAGGCCTCTCTTGGTACAGTCGGTGTATTTATTATTGTAGATAATGTTGTGGAGAGAATAGTTGGTATTGTCCAAGATGGCCTCCATCTTACATTGCATGCATCTCTCCACAACAGTCCTGAGTGAGTCCAAGCACAGACCCAGCCTTTTTGACCAGCTCCAGTCTCCTTGTGTTCATGTCTGACATGCTGCTGCCCCAGCAGACTGTAGCACTAAAGAGTACACTGGCCACCACCGACTGATAAAACATGCAGCATTTCACTGCAGACATCAAAGGACCTGAGCTTCCTGAGGAAAAAGAGCCAGCTCTGCCCCTTCAGGTAGATGGCATCTGTGTTCAGGGACCAGTCCAGTTTACTGTCCAGGTGCACACCTAGGTATTTATAAGTGTGCACCACCTCAATGTCCTTCCCTTGAATGTTGACTGGCTGAAGGGAGGGCCTAGACCTGCGAAAGTCCATGACCATCTCCTTGGTCTTGAGGTGTTCAGAAGGAGGCAGTTCTTGTTGCTCCATTCACTGAAGGCCATCGTCAGATCCCTGTACTCCTCTTCCTGCCTGTACACAATAGCTGTGTCATCCGAATATTTTTGGATGCGGCAGGAATGAGAGTTGTATTGTAGTAGCCATGACAACCAAGGTCCAGTACACCTGCCGCCTAGGGCACTATTTTAGGAGACACGCCTATGGGTCGTATCACACCTGTTGTCCAGGTTGTGGGATTGGTTGGGAAATGATAAATAGGCTACTGTTAAATGTACAATATGTAATTTTCTGCCACTAGGAGTCTCTCAATCAAAACAATAATAAATACATAGTATGACATAGTATGGGATTATTATCCCACAGAGGTCTCCTCCTCTCCAAATCAAACAGACCAGCTGATTAAATCCCATAAAAACACTAAATAAAGCAGTTTCACAATAAAAGTCAGTGTTTCTACTAAACTGTTCGTCAGACGCAAGATGTGTTGGAGGGGCTAGCAGCCGAGCTGTTGCTAAAGTTTGCTCAGCTTGTTTCTTAACTTAAAGTGATTGTCACACTCTGGCCTGAGTGAGGGTAGGTTGGCAAAAGGCTGACTGGAAAACGGTGTACTTTAATCTCAAATGTCGGTGGCAGGAAGCATGACAAAGTCAGTTCGGTGCAAAAAAATGAAAGGTTTTATTGTCCTTTTCTTCCAGACAATCCAAAACAAAATGAAAATGCAACCCTCAACCGGTCTGCACGTCTGCACGTCTGCACGTCTGCATGTCTGCACGTCTGCACGTCTGCACGTCTGCACGTCTGCACGTCTGCACGTCTGCACGTCTGCACAGCTGCACAGCCCTTCTCTAACCACCCAGGCAGTGTTGACCTCCCTCCATTTTATAGAATAGGCCCCTCCCCCTGGACCATACCATCTTCTAATGGAATTAATTAAGTAATCAATTGAGGGCCACAGGCCGTTTCTCATATCAGAAACCCTTACAATGATATATTTACATCTGCTAACACACATTACAGGCATCTTCACAGAATTCACATAATATCCCAAACTAGGGATACAGAAACAACCACGTCTAACACCCCCATCAACTGGTACGGTGCAGTGGGATGGACTGAGCATGCTCCTAATTCACTCAGGCACTACAAAAGCCAGCTGGACACCATGCTCAGGTCCTTTGACACTGGCCAGAACCAGGAAGTGCTGTGGTAAGAGAAGAAACAAATTAATTTTCAACAATGGCCTTCAACCTTTAAACAATAAAAAATCTCACTCAAAATGGTGTGTGTGTGTGTGTGTGTGTGTGTGTGTGTGTGTGTGTGTGTATAACACAAAACGTGTGTTTGTATTGTAGGAGAAAATAGCACAGGAAACTTGCTAAGGTGTTAAATGTAGTTCAGTGTGTGCACCCACCAACTAGCAGTAGCAAGCTACCTGGCTAACATGTGGCATGTGAATTGTATGGTTGTGTGGGGAGCTGGTGTGGTGTGTCAACAGTGGCAGGGGAAACTGTCACAGTGATAGTTTGAGTTATTTGATGTGAGGTTGTGTGAGGTACTTATCTTAAATCAGTGTATTACCTGCAGTAGTTTCGGACCGGCACCAGACCATCTAGGGGTACCAGCCCAGAAGCTGAGCGCTGAGCTGCTGTGGACGGGGTTGCCATCAAACAGCCTTTCCTTTGGGAACAGTTAAAACTAGCTGTATAAAATATCATTTAAAGCAAGAGTATATCATTTTTGATGGGTATGTTACAACAACTCCTCCAACCCGAGCAACCCCCTGATACGACCCATAAAAGTGTCTCCTGAAATACTGTACCAACAGCGGCATACCCTTTGTCGCCATGGTTTCTATAATAACAGTCGACAACAAAACGTAACTATGGGTCATAATAACCTGCTGCACAGATGACGTATGGGGTTGTTTTTTAGTATGCTAACATTTGCTGTTTAGAACTGAATACGAACTACAGCTGAGGATGATGGGAATGTCAGTCTTGGAGTTATTTGGTCATAAACCAAAGTATTGGACAAATTTCTGACCAGATGGTGGGGTGGTGCTACATGAGTTATTACATGTCAACCAGATGGGCAAAGGAATTTTCCTACTAATGCAATCTATGTGATAGATTTCACTCAAAGCCGCAAATGTCAACCTCATTGTGGTGCTTGATGAAATGTAATGGGCATCACCAAACTCAGTGGGATTCATCATCTGGGGACCATGAATATCTGACAATATTTCATCTCAATCCATTAGCTTTCTGCACTGACACTAGATATACTGTATGTGGAAACCCAAATATTAGTCTGAAAATACATATCTGTCAGTGATGCGCACATCGGCTCTGATGTCATCTAAATCCACACATATGCATAAATTATCCACCCGCCAGCCACACAAGCAAATTATTTTCCACGATGTAGAGACTCACACCCCTGATCTCACACCACCATGATTTCTCAGTGGGATATTGCATTTGATGATATTGTGACATTTCTACTAAAATAGGCTGGGTTTAAATAAAAATTCTGTCATTTAAAGTAAAAGCTCTCCTTGTTTGGTAAAATGAACATGGCAGCAGGTATTATCACAAAAGCCTGAACACAGACTGAAGTTTAAATTCTGACTGTCTCTGCTGCCTCCTGAACACAAACAGTTTGAAAGCTCAAAAAAGGAAGTTTAAAATATGTTCACATTTCAGAGAATGTAGTTAATATTTTCCTGACACATTACATATTATTTCGCCCACATGCAGCCTGTCCACTGTTAATCAGAATTGAATTCTTATGGCCCAGCCCACCCAAACCACGGATTAACCACAGTGCCAGCAGATATGACTGCAATCCCTGTGTCACCAATGCCTGTTGCTTTGGTCTGGATGTGGAGACAGCTGATCATAATACTGGCTCTGCCTTGTTTGTCTTGCATTGTAATGCCCTATACCATAGAAAGACCAGGTTAATTATAAAGATTTAGGTTGGTTTGTATCAGTTAAAGCATTATGTCCCAGATTTATCACAATGTGTCATATTATTGGTGTCACTT